CTTACCTAACTGTAAATGTATGTAATTAAATTTTTGATAACAGTGACTTTCTGGATTCCTTAAAGTCTACGCTGCCAAGCAAGGCATCAGAACTCTCAATTTTGTCCTGTTGGTACAAGGAAAGCATTGTTCATAGGCCCTGCTATAGACAAGAATGTTGGGAATTTTTATAAAGACAACCAAGCATGAATACATCATAAATTCTGTGGATTTAATCATTTATGATACCTTAAGCACAAATTTCAGAACTGCAAATACCTCCTGAACTTCTCTGGTCTATCGAGGTTAAATGAGCACAAGTGTGTTGTGTTTAGATTCCATTCACCCCCTAAGATAAGTGTGTTCTGAGAACCTTCCCTGAACATCTCTGGGGACTTCCTGTTAGGATTTTTACTAAGCCTTTCTCACACTGAACTGTTTTGGCCCTTCCTACTTTAAGCATAAATAGTTCATCATTTACATATAGTTTAGGAGCTTTATTTCAAGCTATTTAAGCTTAAGATTTAGCAGGACTTGGGCAAATGGCAGCACAGAACAGACAGGATAGAGCCAGAGAGGATGCACCAGGGGATGCTACAGACAGCGCGGCTGACAGAGGCAGGTCAGGACCCAGCCCAGGGAGTCCAGCAGCGTAGCAAACCATAGACCCAAGCCAAACAGGCAACAAGGCTCCCAAGATCAAAGAGCAGATGGTGCAGATATAAAGAAGTCAACGATGGAGAAGTCAAGAAAAGAAATATTCAAAAACCTGCACAGCCACAGTCTTGGGGAAAAAATCAAAATATATCAAGTCTGAATGCAGTGTTTCCAAAATCCCATTTCTCTTGGACCATTAATATCTACTTCTCAAGATTCCTATAAAATCAGCAAATCATAGGCATCCTTCTTCATACAATAAGGGGCTACTGAAGTATCTAAGAAAATGTAAATTATGTTTGACATCAAAATAATATGACTATCCAGAGAGCACATAATTTCTTTAAGTAGGGAAGTTTGGGTAACAAGCATTTTACAGTTCTATGACTAATACAAGTTAATATTCCCTGCAAACTGATGTATGGCTTTTTGGACACCATCACTTATAAGAAAAAAAACCTCATAGTTACTTTTCTAGTACTTCTATCCAGATAACTTCTTTGTTCTAAAGAAGAGGATCAAGATATCTTGACATCTTTCACATGGTAATCAAATATGAAATAAGAGATGAAAAGGTGAGATTTTGTACTCTTCTATGTGAATTTGTGTCTTTGCAACTCATTGTTTCCACTTCCTACCCCAACAAAAAGGAATATAAAAGCATAGTTGTGAGTGTTATTCATAGTTTAAATTTTGGGGGGAAATGTATGTATTAAAGTTAAGAGATTGTTAAAGGCCATGTGGTTCAATTTCTACTCACTGAAGATATAATAACTATGTTGACTGAGCACTTTTTCTATCATCAAGCACTCTTTCAAGTGCTTTCCAGATAATATTTCATTTAATCCTCACAACAACCCTATTATCCCCAGGTTAGAAATAAAGGAAACAGGCTCAGAGAGATTAAGTGATTTGCACAAAGTCACATTGTCAGTGACAAAAGAAGGATTCAAATCCAAGAAGTCTTACCCTGACTCTTAAACACTGATTCTGACTCATACATACCATCATACAATAAATGTAAGCACTACTCACGTTCTCTTCCCTTTTTTTTTCCTTAAAGAATTTTTTCTTGTGGACCATTTTGAACATCTTTATTGAATTTTTTACAATATTGCTTCTGTTTTATGTCTTGGGTTTTTGGCCACGAGGCATGTGGGGTCTTAGCTCCCCAACCAGGGATAAAACCTATACCCTGTGCCTTGGAAGGCCAAGTTTCAACCACTGGGCCACCAGGGAAGCCCCAAGCACTTTATTTCTAAATGGTACTACTAAGATTTATATGGTATGTAATAACTCACTTGGAAACATGTGAAACATTCACTACACAATTCAAAGACTCATCTTTCCATTTTTCAATTAAGCATTCCTACTGCTATTTTTTTTTTCCATTTATTTTTATTAGTTGGAGGCTAATTACTTTACATCATTACAGTAGTTTTTGTCATACATTGAAATGAATTAGCCATGGATTTACCTGTATTCCCCATCCCGATCCCCCCTCCCACCTCCCTCTCCACCCAATCCCTCTGGGTCTTCCCAGAGCACCAGGCCCGAGCACTCAACAGACATTTCTCCAAGGAAGACACACAGATGGCTACCAAACACATGAAAAGATGCTCAACATCACTCATTATCAGAGAAATGCAAATCAAAACCACAATGAGGTACCATTATACGCCAGTCAGGATGGCTGCTATCCCAAAGTCTACAAGCAATAAATGCTGGAGAGGGTGTGGAGAAAAGGGAACCCTCTTACACTGTTGGTGGGAATGCAAATTAGTACAACCTACTGCTATTTAAGAACATGGACTTTGCCTATTACCTGACAAATCTTCAGCTCCAAATAAGCAATCTGGATGTAAGAAAACAAAACAAGAGATGAAAGGATCCAGTTTCAGAAGTATGGCATTCTAAGAGTGTGTCTTTAGTGAATGGACTACAGATTACCTTCAGAGTTCTGTGATGCAGAACAACCCCTGCATTTTTCCTTTTACAAGGAATTTTTCCTTTTACAGGAATCTACACTTGTGACCTGTGGGCCCATCCCTCACAACAGATGGGAGGGAATTTGTGGAAATCATCTAGTGTATCATTCTTCCCTAGGTGTCTGTGCTGTTTGTGGAAACTGTGTTGTCTTGAGGGCCTAATTTTTGTTCCTGGTTGTACATTTGCCATTGGATCATTCCATTCCATCCGCTGAGTCTGTTAAAATTGGATCGACTTTCACTTTTCCTTGAAGTAAGCACCTGCAAAGCTCAATTTCTTTTTAAAACACTGTCATTAGACTCTCTAGGTTCATGCAAGCTCTGACTAGTAATCTCTTTCTCCTTTTCGATCCATCAGTGGTACCTGATCTTCAAAGTGGTCAATTTCAAAACAAGTGATCCAGTCTTTGAAACATTTAGAGATTAAAAAAAGATCTTGAAATTGAATTGTCCCATTTCACTTTGGTTCACTCCAGACTAATCAGTAATTTGGAAAGAACATCCACCCCCAACCTTTTGTAGCAGTTTCACCCTCTAACACATGGACTTTATAACATAGACTCTCCTAACAGACCCTAGCACTCTACTTCATGTTCTGAGGACCAGAACAAAACTGCTCACATTTCTGTTCATTCCAGAGTCAAAGCTGTCAAAGTCTGTGGTTATGTTTTTATGAATGCCCTCAAGCTGTCAAAGTGTTTGCCATGTCTATCAAAACATGCCAGATTCATTTGGGGCACTGGACATGAGCAGCACTAAAAGTCTTTTCAGACAAGTGGGTTTGGATAAACTGCAGAAACATGAAGATTAATATGAGAAAAGTGTAGGGCAGAGCATGTCTGTCCTACTAGATATGATAGAGTCTATTAAAAAGAGATGATTGATAGTAATGAGACATTATCAACATAGGTAGAATTTAACTGGTTATATAAAATAGGGAATAGTAGTTTTTCAGTAGCTAGCAACTATTTGGGGGTAGGGTAGATAAAGATAAACTTTGTGCCAATTACAGGGCAATAGAATGGTTAGATTTCACCATGCTTTATTAATTTCAAGGTGGTATTCCCAAACATTTTATGTCTGCTTCAAATTAACATGACATTCTCAAGCACCCCCAGAGGACATCCTGAAGCTCTGAGAGCATATTTTAGCAAGTGTAATGAAGTAGAAAGGATGGAGGCTCACATCTACTGAAATTCCACAGCATGGAAGAACACTTCTTCCTATCAGCAGAGAGGCCAAAAGTCATTTTGATGTACACTGTTCATTCTGCACAGCTGCAGATTTCCAAATTAATTGAGATAGAGAGAAGGAACTTATTCATTTATAGTTAAAATTCCTAAGGTTTATACGTAGAATTAAAATTTAAGATTTTTGTTTTCATGGGCATTGCTCCAATATTTACAAAAGAGTGGCAGACCGATTCCTCACAGGAGACCTGGGACAATGAAGTGCCACTACCTGCTTTGAAAAGGAGCCGTGTTGCTTGGGGTGAGGCGGGGGAGAATGTCTGCACACAGGAGGTGCATACATGGGCTCATGCCTTGTCGTGTCTGACTCTGTGACCCCACGGACTGTAGCCCACCAGGCACCTCTGCCCATGGGATTCTCCAGGCAAGAACACTGGAGTGGGTTGCATTTCCTGCTCCAGGGGATCTTCCCAACCCAAGGATCAAACCTGCATCTCTAGTGTCTCCTGCACTGACACGTGGATTCTTTACCATTAGCATCACCTGGGCAGCCCATATACCTGGAGGTGCCTATTTGCATTTCCAGAGGGATATTTCCATGTTGCCTACAAGGATGGTTATTGCTGGGAGTCACCCTAGAGATCTGGCTTCCCCTTCTTAGCCTTATAACTTTCTATTTTCCAAAAATACATTAATGTCTAAAAAAAAAGATTGTCTAGGAATTCATTTTCCTTCCTGGATGGTAATGATATTCAGTAGCAGCAATTTCATACTAAATAATTTTATCTCACCCAATGAACCAATGGATTAAGTTACTCTCGTGTTAAATCCAAGTGTGATTAATTCTCTTCAGTCCCCTGTTGTTGTTGTGTCTCTCAGCTGTGTCTGACTCTTTCATGACCCCATGGACTGTTAGCCCGCCAGGTCCCTCTGTCCGTCGGATTTCCCAGGCAAGAATACTCGATTGGGTTGCCATTTCCTTCTCCAGGGGATCTTTCTGACCCAGGGATCGAACCTATATCTCCTGCATTGCAGGCAGATTTTTTTACCACCGAGACACCTGGGAAGCCCTTTTAACTATTCAGTATATTTTTTAAAAAAAATCTTTTAAGAGAAAAGTCTTTGTTTCATCCCTGTCTCTTTCACAAACAACTCAAACTCTCCAGCAAATAAGACGAGTGCTTACCTCAAAGGCTCTCTGTATTTGGACGAAGTCGCCCAGGGTGAGTTGATTGCCAAGCAGCGCTGTGCTGGCGTCTTCCTTTGCAGTCGCACCATGGGAAGTCCTCTCCGGGTTCTCTGGCCGGGGCTGAGACCCTTTGTTCAACCCAGGGGTAGCATTCTGGCAACTCATAATGGCGTCACCTCTTTTCAGCAGTCTTCAACTCTCTCTGTAAGTTTTTCTTTCTTTCTTTCTTTCTTTTCCTTTTCCCTCAACAGGTGCCTTTGGAAAGAAACAACTTAAGCAATCGAATTCCAAAATAAAAGTACATTTCAAGGCACTCAATTAGGAGGCAAAAAATTCAAGCCCAGAGGCAGGGAATGAAAGCTCTGGACCCTCACTCTTCCTTAGTACCAGTTTATTTTCAAAGCCCACTGTTGAATCCTTTTAAAACACCCCACCACCAATATTCTGTTTAACCTGGCTTGATTACAAGAGTGTAAAAGCTTTCCCCTGGGTTTATAGCAACTGACACAAAATGCAACTTCTAATACTCGTTTAAAATGAATTAGAAAAGCAGTTTCTCAAAATCTCTTTGGCTAACCTTGCTTTTATTCATATGTCATGGGTTTAAACTCCGTTTTCTTGTCTTGAGACGTGAGATGACACAGCTGTCCCAGGGAAGTGTGTGCCTCTGAAGACTACCTTCCCAGCAACATGGCCTTGTTTTTTTCATGCATGCCTGCTGCCTTTGTGTGCTTCTAGGCAACCAGTGTGAAGCTAACTAAGGCTTCTCCCTTTTCTCCTCCTCCTCACACCCCCATCCCGCCCAGAAACTAATGACTGACCTGAAGATCTGAATAAATAATGTTAACATTGAGGTTTTTTTAAAGGACCATTCAGCCCACTCATTTTTTTTTTAATTAAACTTCATCACTGCACTATTTAAAGACAACTTTTATAAACGTATTTTCTATGAAATATGTATTATGAAGCAAGATGATTATTCAAAGAAAACAACAATGAATTTAGGAATTTTACATTTTCTATGTAAAAATGTTTCATTTGTGTTTAATAAGAATCCATTTCTTATCATCTCTTTGTCTTAGTTTCTATGTGGATAAAATGGGAATGGTTTAGCCTGTTTTTATTTTTCATTCCTTTCATAAATATTTATTGAGCATCTACTATATTTTTTTTTAATTTTATTTATTTTTTAACACCAGAAACGTTTTGTATTGGGGTATAGCTGATTAACAATGCTGTGATAGTTTCAGGGGAACAGTGAAGGGACTCAGCCGTGCATAAATATGCAGCTGTCCTCCTCCAACCCCCACTCCCATCCGGCTGGCACATAGCATTGAGCAGAGTTCCCTGCGCCCTACAGTAGGTTCTTGTTGGTTATCCCTTTTGAAAACAGCAGTGTGTACCCTACTATGTACTTTTGACAACACTGGGAACAACACGCAGTCGCAGATGGCAAATGTCAGAGGGAATGCTGATAACTTCATATACGAGATTAATCAAACTCTCCAAACAAATATTTCATTTTCTGTCCCATCTGGAAGTAAAATTATCATCAGTCTATAGGAGGTGCTCTGTATCCACGGGTAGCATAGGTTTTCAATTCATTGAAAATATGGAAGGAGAACACAGTATAACACAATATGATAAATCTTATGATAGAACTATCTACAGTACCATCACTGGTTCAGCTAATATTAATGAAAAGAAAGGAAAAAGGAGAAAGTTAATATTTTGTTTTCACATTTACCATGTGCCAGGCACTACACTAAGCACTTTGTAATTCCTTATCTTGTTAAAGCTTCACAATAATCCTGCAAAGCAGACAAGCTCACTCTTCCCACTTTACAGATGACGTGAAAGTCACTCAGTCGTGCCTGACTCTTGCGACCCAATGGACTGTAACCCACCAAGCTCCTCTATACATGGAATTTTCCAGGCAAGAATACTGGAGTGGGCTGTCATTTTTCCTACTCCAGGTTACAGATGAAGAGGCAACATGGACCCCAAAAATCTCACAGTTAGTAAGGTGTAGAAAATGGCAGAGTGGCTCCTGGCTTTAGGTGCATGCTTCCTCTCAACCTTATTCTCATCTCTGTAAAACTGAAAAGATGTTCTCTAAGTTTTCTTTCAGCAACATTATTCAGTGAGCTAATGTTTATAGGCACAAAGTAATACAAAGCATGCTCCCTACAACACAGAGATGGATGCATCCCACAGGCTTTCCTGAACCAGTAGTAAAAAAAATGAAATATCATTCATCCACCCATTAATTTATCCATCTCTCTATCATTCATTCTGAAAACAATTTATTAGGAGTCTCTTGTATACCGAGTCCTGACTTGGACCTGGTGCCTACCCGCAAGGGACTTACAGTCTTGTAGGAACAATTAGCTATCTGGTTCATCTTTCATGTCAAGTCCCAACCTCTTGCTGTTTCCAGTGCTGTGTGGAGAATTGTGAAGTCATATGCAGGCTCAGAGGAAAAGAGTGGCATTATAAATTATAAATGGGTATCACAGGCACAGAAGGGCTGAGGGGAACATGTTTATTACACATTTAACTTTTCTGGTTTAGCTCTTCAGTAAATTAGATAAAACATCTTTAAGCCCTAATATGATAAATTCCCCTAAATTATCTCACATAAGAATAAAATCTGTCTTCTTACCATACTAATTAGCAAATTAATAATAGTTTAGTTCAGTCAGATCAGTCCTGTAAATGTCTATAAAATGTTTTATAGTGATCTGTTGGACAGTTGGGATTAATTCCACAACAGACACTAATGAGGGGAGGAAGAGGAAATAGAAAAAAATACTCTGTGAAGCTGTGCTGGGAGAGGTAAGTATCCCACTGGCTGACAATGCAAAATTCTCTAATTATTCTAAGACAGTCAAACTGCCTGGATGCCTTAGCTTGCACAGAGATGCAGCTCTAAACGTATTCATTAGTCAAAACAGGAGGCTATAATGAGCAGCCAACAAAACACTGTAGAAGTTAATCAATTCACAAAGCTTCCTTCCTGTAAAATCAAGGCATTAGAAATCATTCTCCATCATAAAGCCTTCCATGGCTTTCACCTTCTTTGAAATGGTGTGGTTAATTCAGGTTAAACTTCTACCACTCTAAAAAGTCTATACCTAGTCTTTTGTGTGTATGTGTGTTCAATCATGTCCAGCTCTTTGCACCTCTTGCCTATGCTGACATTTACCCTCCTTGCTTTCCAAGCATCAGTTATGAGTTTGTGAAAATCTGCCACGTGCCCAGTCCCATCCTAGGCTCTGTGTGGGACAGGGAAGTGATGAAGACAGCCTGAGCTCTCAAAAAGTGGAAGGTCCCTGGTGATCCGCTTGTTAAGAATCTGCCCTCCAATGCAGGAGACACAGGTTCAATGCCTGGTTGGGGAACCAAAATCCCACATGCCACATGGCCACTGGGCCCATGTGCTGCAACAAGAGGAGACTGCACACTGCAACGAAGGCCCAGTGCAGCCTTAACTTTTTATTTTTAAAAGTGGGAGCTCTCCCCAATGTTCACCGCAGCACTATTTATAATAGCCAGGACATGGAAGCAACCTAGATGCCCATCAGCAGACGAATGGATAAGGAAGCTATGGTACATATACACCATGGAATATTACTCAGACTAGGCGCCCAGGAGGACCATGCAAGCAGATGCATCACTAGCTTGTGCTTGTTTTGGAACCTTGGCCTGCATCATTATCCCCACCGAATAGACACTCCCATATGTGTCTTTGTCACAATTCCCAGTTCACCCCCGAATCCCTGCTCCCTTCCTCCCCCATAATTCACACCCACCAACAAAAACAGCAGGCCCTGCCTTCCCTCTTAATTTCCCTTCCCTTTGTTTCTCCTCTCCTCACACCAAGGCCTGTTCTTACTAACATTCTTGTGCATCCTCAGTCGCTTAGTCGGGTCCAACTCTTTGTGATCCCATGGACTGTAGCCCGCCAGGCTCCTCTCTCCAAGGGGTATTCCCAGCAAGAATACCTGGAGTGGGTTGCCATTTCCTCCTCCCGGGGATCCTCCCAATCCAGGGATCAATCCCCCATCTCCTGAGTCTCCTGTATTTGCAGGCAGATTCTTTACCACTGAGCCATAATCTTTGACTAAATTTCTGCCTCCATCTCCTTCACATAAGAGAAACCAGCTTCCCCTTACAAAGCCCCTTTCTCACCAAACCATCTCAAGTTGAAGCTCCTCCTTGCCCCAGTCCCCTCCCTCGGGGCCAGCGGCAAGGTGTCTTCCCACAGTCTCCTTGCTTCTTGAAGGCACGCCTTCCCAACATGGTCCCTGTGGCCAAACACACCCCTACAGCCCTCTCTTTTTAGCTCCCAGCTCACTTAAACATCACCTCCTCTCAGAGCTTGAGAGAAAGGACCAGCTCCGCCCTTGGCACCTTTTAAGCCCTCAATAAATATTAGTTTCTCTCCTTTCTTGTTTCAGATCCTCCTGGCTCAAATTAATTACTCCTTTCACTCTGCAACCACAGCATTTTGTTTACACTTTAACCACAGCAGTTTTTCTTTCTGCCTTGCAGTATAATTAGTTGCCTGTGTATCTGTCTCTCTCCCACCACATTAACTCCCTAAGAACAAGGACAGTACCTCACTAAAGCCTACAACCTAACATGGCCCAGAGCTTTGTATAAACTACACAGTGGTACAGTCGTGTGTGCCTATTTGTAAAATAAGATGGGCTGAAAAGGAAATTCTCCTGTGGCTTTGAGTTTTCAGGACAGTTTCCTGAGTGGTATTGAGTCTGAAATAGAGGTAGAATTCCACAAGAAAATAATGAGGGAAACCAAATTTGCGATTGTATCTTCAAGGCTCTTAGAGAAAACTGTTTGAGAACATCTGAAACAGTGTTCCATTTAATACATGCAATTTCTACATAAGGTGCACACCTGTTAGGCCCTGCTCTGTTCTGGTCACTGCTCCAGACACCAGAAAAGCAAAAATGAATGAGATAGTGCTCTATGCTCACTGTTGCTCAGAGACATGGTAGTAAATTCTGAGGAATCCCCTAGCGGTTTCAGTGGTTAGAAATTGGCACTTTCACTTTCACGGGCCCAAGTTCAATCTCTGGTCAGAAACTAAGATCCTGCAAACCATGTGGCACAGCCAAAAAGAAAGACACAGATTTGATAAAACCCAAACCCAAAACAAAATTTTTCAAAAGTCAATTATGTTGTTGTTAATTTTATCTTTTGAGAAAGCAGGTCCCCTGTTAACTCTTAGACCACATAACATTTGCCTTTTATTTTTTGATCTGCTGTACAATGCCCAAATTAACAAAACTGTCTTTATACATCAGCATTTCTCAGACTGTTCAAATATTTAAATACTGAGAATTCATTAAATAGTAATTCATGATATACTAAAATAACTAAACTTATCACTGTGCAATAAATTGCATATCATCATATGTCAAGTTCTAGTCTAAGCAAGCAGTGTTAGCCAAATTTTACAATATATGGAAGTGGAAGGTAAAACTGCGAAAATCCTAATTTTTGACTTAAGCATTCCTGCTCATTTGAAAAAAGCAACTATGATTTTATTTTACCAGTAGATACATGGGATCCACTGAACTAAATATGGAGAATCAGTGCTTAAAAATATTTTAAAGTTCAAATTTTATGTAAATCCTGATAATTGCTCCCAACAGTTAATCAGTTTTTGAGGCCCTCTTTGGTTTAACAAATTCTTGTCTTT